GTGTGTGTGTGGCCAGCTCAGCCCACCAGGGGGCGGGCTGGCTGGCATGTGGTGCTGGAGGATCGAACCGAGGTCCCTGTGCTTTGCTTAGCTTGTTCTAAGTAGGTGCTTTAGACCACTGAGCCATCTCTCCAGCCCGCCCCTTTTATTTTGAGACAAGGTCTTGCTAAGGTACCCAGGCTCAGAATGTGATCTTTCTGCCTCAGTATCCTGAGTATTTTACGTGTGCCATCATGCCAGATTTTATTCACCAATCTTATCCAAGGACAGTCTGTGGTCTCCTTCGCCAGTGCCAGGTGTCCCACTGGCCAGACAGGCCCTGCCATTCACCTGCCCCCTAGGGCCACCAGCTGGTGACAGTGTGCCCAGCCTGACAGCTGCCTCCTATCTCCTATGGGGTGACACATGGTAGTCGGACAGGACTGGGTTTGGGTAGGGCAACCCCAGGAGTAGAGCAAGAGGGGGCCTTACCAGACTTGCTGTAAATCTGGAAGCCTGTCTACCAGTGAGTGGGTAGGGTTGATGATCTCCAAGAATGATTAGATTGGGGGTGATGATTATTCCAGAGCCCACCCGCTTGTTGTTTTTCTTTTATTTTTTGGTTTGGTGAAACGAGGTCTTGCTGTGTTGTCCAGGCTGGTTTTGAATTTATGTAGCCCAGATTGCTCAGATTTACAGCAATCTTTCTATCTCAGCCTCTAAAACACTGGGTGTACCACCACACCCAGTGAAATTTTAGTTTTGGGTGAGGACAGTAACTCATTCAAAACTAAAGCGAAGTATTGGAATAATTATGGAAAGTTCTTTTTTTCTTTTTTCTTTCGCTTCTTGGACTTCAAGCTCTAGGGAAAAATTAGAGGGCAGGGATGAAGGTGTGTTCTAGGAGGGTTCCATGCTGCAGTTGTTGACCTTGCTGCCTCTGCAGCCCAGTGAAAGCCTGGTGTAGAGCAGCCTGGGCCAGGGGAGGGAGGTTCTGAGTAGACCTGCTGGGTGTCCTTGTACAGTGCACCTGGTGTTGATCTCAGAACTTGCCTGAGCAGGATGGGCTCTGTGAATTGATCCCCAGGCACTGCTGACCCACAGGTCCCTTGAGGATGTGAACGTATGCTCCTGAGCTCCGTCCAGCAGGGGAAGGAGGGGAGTGGATTGCAGTTGAGGGAAGAAGTTGGCAGGAGGTTTGCATGGCCAGGTGAGCTGTGTAACCTCCCTGGCCCTTCAGAGGTTGGAGGGGCTGTGAAAACCCAGGGTGGCCCTGACCCAGAAGGTCAGAGGTGCTCAGTTAGTCTGTCTCCCCAAGGGAAACAGTCTGGGCTCTAGTTTTTACCTGTCTAGCTGGTTCTACCTCTTTGGTCCAATTAAACAACAGGATGTTATTGTTGACTTGGTGGCTGCTGGGGAGTCATTATAGGGCTGTTCCCCAGGGCTGTTGTCACCTCCTCCAGGGAATGAGGTCACAACTGGGCCCCCCCAAGCATCAGGATTTCCAGTGGAAATCCTTACCCTCTCTGGGACTTGTATGTGTTCATCATCTTGAAGGTGAACTTCCCATGCTGAACTACACTGGGGGGGGGGGGGCAGTCCCAAAAGGAAAGGAGGAATTTCCTAAGATGAAATTGGTTCGTGGTAATGCCACTGGAACTATCTACCAAGTGCTGTGATTGCTTTGTCCTGGGCAGTAAAGATTGTGAATGCAGAGGGGTTGGAATGGCCCTTGGCCCCTGCCAGGATGATGCCAACTTGGGTGATCTGGTCTCAGCTGTGGCTTAACTTTCTATATGTGCCTCTGGGCAGATCCTCACCTTTATCTGAGGCTCAATTTCTCCAAATATCCAAAGAGGTTGGGTTTAGGGGCTTGTTTGTTTCTGAGTCATAGAACCTCAGCCACTTCTTTGGAATGGGAAGGACTGGGCTGATGACTATTCAGATATTAGCAGATTCTGAGTTATCAAAACCTGGAAGTTCTGGGCCGTGGAGATGGCTCAGTAGAATAAGTGCTTGCCTGGCAAGCGCAAGGGCCTGAGTTTAATCCCCGGTACCAAAAAAACCAAAACCTGGAAGTTCAGGGGAAAACCTTGAGTTTTATGTTTATGCTTTGTCATCTTTTTTATTTTATATTTTGAGCCAGAGTATCACCATATAGCTTAGACTGGCCCTGAACTTGAAGCAGTCCTCATGCCTCAACCACAAGAGTGCTAGCATCACCAGCATGTGCCACCTCATACAGCTTGTATTCTTGTTTCATGGACTGAAGGCTCAAAATCAGTTGGAGCAAATGTCTTGTTGGCTGGTAGCCTTAAAGGTAGACATATTCTTCTAATAGTTTTCTTTTCTTTTCTCTTCTCTTCTCTTTTTCTTCCTCCTCCTCTCCTCCCTCCCTCCCTCTACCCCCGCCCCCCAGGATCTCACTGTCGAGTTTAGGCTGGCTTGAAGCTCACAGTGATCCTCTTGCCTTAGCCTCCTGAGTGTTACTGCCAGTATTTTCTGGGACCAGTACTGCGCTGGTTCTGGGCCTGAACTTGGGAATCCAGCAGTAAGAAACTAGATGAGTTGGGGCCTCCATAGAGGGGTGATAGGGAGCTAAGCCCACAGGTATGATGAAGTCTTGTAAAGCCTGTACCTAAAGGCACCTGTGGGGACCAAGCAGGTGCCCAACCCAGTCTGCCAGTCAGAGTGTTTCCTGGATGAAATGGCAACAAGGTAGGAGGAGTAGGAGTTGACTGGGAAATCAAAGGGACAGGAGGAAGCACCCTATTTTTAAAAAATTGTAAAAACCATTTATTTGGTACAGGGTCTTGCTACACAGCTTGGACTTGTATGATCCTCCTGTCTCAGCCTCCCTGGTGCTGGGATTACAGGTGTGTTCCACCACGCTGGTTTTGGTGGCCGGCTTGGCATGGGGGAGGCACAGCATGTAGTACTGGGGATCGAACTTGGGTCCTTGCGCT